CAAACGAACCCGAGTTCGCAAAATTCTGAAGATCGGCGAGATATCGTTGCCTCACGATCCGTCCGTCATTTTGCGATCTTTCATGCGCCGACTTTGGATACAATATTTCCACCAATATTGTCCCGATTTTGTTGATCTAAACGCAAAATATTCACCTTAATTATAAGACTATAGATCGCAAAGATCTGATAATGTGTTCCAGAAATGTGGGCGTTCAACGATGCAATACAGAACGGTGCGAGACCAAACCGGAAACCAGTCTACACCTAACAATGAAAGAAACGCCAAATTCTCACATTCAGGAAACTTGGTACGAAACCAAACTGGAAAACGGTCGTGTAAGCTGTTGGCCGCCATTTTCGTTTCGCTGGTGTTGCAATCAGATTCCAATTTAATTTCATGGCGGTGGTGTTTTTAGTGTGTATTTGGCGCTTTTTTTCGTTGGTGAGAGTCACAGCCAGAATTTGCTGGGCCAACCACAAAATAAAAGACATTTGTTTTTGTTTTGATAGCGATGGTGTATTAAGTCAATCCGGATAATTATGATTATCCAAGTTGACTTGAGCCTTAATTCACTATACGGCTTTAACGGTTCCCCCCCCCCGAATGGAGATTTACCCAACATGACGTTTCCGGTGACATTTATCCGACAATATGATCTCCGACATGATGTATTGCAATTAGGGTTAAGGTTAAAATTAGGATTGCGTGTATATGTAAAGTTTATTTAAAGTGCAACTATAATATATAATTATAATTAGGAAAATGTCATGTCAGGAATATGGATTTCGGTAAAATGGGTTGTCAGGTATATGACTCGGGAAAGTGTTATGTCGGAGAAAGGGGTTTAGCCATCGACGTTTTTCGTATAGGTCTAATATCGTATGTAACCATTAATAAAATTTAATTGTCCAATTGGACATATCAAGTTGACAACACTGTATATTATAATCTCTATTAAACAGTAATTATTTAAATTAAGAAAATTTAACGCTAAAATGGAAGCATAACTAGCTCCTGGATTATTGTAAGCATAATTGCAATCCAAATTGTAATCAAACAAAACTTCTTGTAGTAGTGTGTTGATTTACAGTGAGAAATTCCCCGTGAAAATTACAGGCATCACCTACTTTAATGGTGGTTACATGTACGATACAGGGCATTATACACAGCAATCGTAAATTACAAGATTTTTGTAGTTTATATATAAAATGTCTTATACTATATAGTAAAGTAGACGTGTAATTAACTGTAACCACCTATAATTATTAACGGATTACAGAGTTTGCAGGAAAACACCTGCAAAATTACAGGGGAACTTTTTTATAGGAAGGTGTATTGTGAGATAAAGCTGTTTTTGATTGTATAATAAAAAACTATAAAGTTTATCGCAACTGCCATAATAAAAACAAATGTTCATATTGTTATAATTTGGCTGTTGGAGGTAGGGGTGATGGTATTGGTGGTTCAATTTGATTTGTCGGAGAGATACACTGTACTTATCAACCCAGGCATAATCTTTTCGAGATAAATACAGATTTTCTAATAAAAAATCACGTAAAAATCTGAAGACAGATTCCAGATCCCAAGAGAAATCGTAGATACAGTAATTCAAAATTTTATTAAGTAAACCAAAGTGGGAAGACTAGTCAAATGCTCGGCATGAAATTTTGCTTATAGGAATGACCACGATACAGTAAAACCTCTCTAAATGCACACTTCTCGGGATTATAGTAAAAAACAGGCAGCAGTGCGTGCAATTAGAGAGGGTGTGCATTTACAGCGAGTAAAATATATAACTTGGCACCAAGCCATACCGTGCATTAGAGAGAATTTATATAGTGCGTGCATTTATAGAGGATGCGCTTAGGGATGTTTTACTGCATATTGATCACGTTTAAGTGGTTAAAACCACTAGTATTAAGAATTTAGTTGATGATTCTTCAAAATGCATCAGAAAATTCGGAAATCTCCTGATAGAATTCAGATTTCCACCACAAAAACCACTAGGATACTATATATCCCTTCCTACCTGTGACTTATAGTTGTATATTTTAGAACTGACAATTATTACTTTCCTACATTAAATATTAAAATCAGCTAAGTAAGTTAATTACGATCATAAAATTATTATATATAATAGTAATCTGCTATATCATCGATGCTAGATAGGGTTTTCGAGATTCAAAGTAATTTACTAAGTCACTAACTTTTTTTTCGCCACCGAATATATTTATCAGATTTTATGTAATAGAATATAATCTCTTAACAAGAGCTGCTGAATGCAAAAAATGGTTACTAATATTTGTTTTATTTGTTGCAGTCTTTTCAATTCACTAAAAAACATAAAAATTAATATTAACTTTATGCTCGTCATAACAAAATTGCTGAGAACAAACAACTTGGAAGTCTAAACAATGATTTTCTTGAGTACACTTACTGTTAAAGACTATAAGTGTTAAATCTTTAAAAATATTATTATCGAATATCAGGAAATTATTTTGAATAAAATTCCTCCAATATAATAGAATTTGTTATCTTTAAATGTTGAAGAATTGTGATCTTTGAACTGGAACACAACCATAAAAAGGTAGAATTTCGCTTCCTGTTGAATCAAAGCTATCACATATATGCATCTTTGCATCTAGTTCCATCCATATATAAAGTTTTCCTTTGTCATCAATGACAGAAGACACGTAGCATCGAGTTTTAGGAGCGTTTCCTCTGGAGGAATCAACCAACGAAAATGAGATTCGAATACTCATCGACCATTATCGTTATTTTAATAAACTTAAAATTAAGCATCCGTTCTGCATAAACTTGCAATCCTCCCACCAAATGTATTATTAACAGCATACAAATATTATAATATATATTCTGCACTTCAATTACGAGTTCGTTTTGATATGAACAAAAAATTGTATTTATCAAAACAATATACATAATTTTGCGTTTGTTTTTATTAGAACAAAATAACTGTAAAGCTTTTTCGGCCAGTTTTTCTAGAGTAATATTAAAAGCACGTCGTGTTATCTGCTCGAAATTCTGTGTCTCCTTGACTCTATTTATAATAAAGTTCCCAAAAGAAACAAGTTTATGAAGAGTTTTATTACTTCAAGAAGTTAGAATATACATGTACATTTTATTTATTCATAGAAAAAATTCATATAATCTCCAAAGCCGATTTTTTCGAAAAATATCGGCCAAAGCAAAAGCAGCAGCACAGCAGTTTATTGTCTTTGATATAGATTTTTAAATTATCAAAATAAAAATCGGTAATTTATTTATTTACGTATCTGTTTGATTTGATTTGTATGAAACGCACTACTACTGTATATTATTTTTTCAAGCTTTTATTAACATTCGATGTACTTTGCAAAATAATGTAATGAAAGAAGTTTTTCCGAACTCAAGTGAGAAGAAAAGTTTATCACGTAAAAATGGTACGTAGTTTGCTGTTTCTGTTAATAATAGTATGTGCTCGACGCTAACGTTAAGATTCTTATCTGTTCCATTCAATTTTTGAAAAAGAATAACTTTATTCAAGAATTAAATATTTTCTTGTTTATTTGATTATTTAACAGATTAAAATGTACATGTACTAACTTTTATTCTCTAAATATTTTTCTAATTTTATAATGCGGTGTGGTGTAATTGGACTTTTGGAGCTACTAGTCCAAAAAGCCCAGTTAGTTTGTGTATAATAATCAGAGCCAGTCCAATTGAGATAACATTATTTGGACTGGTCTAATTGACAATACTGTTTATTAGTGCTATTATTGTCTTTATAATGTTTAATAAATAAACTAATAAATAAATTATTAAATAAAAATTGACATTTACAGAAATAAAATATAAACACTATCGTTATCGTTATCGTTATTAAATAAAAATCAATTGAAATTCTTACATTGTTTATTTTAAATTGAAGTAAATCATTACTGAACCGACTTTTAATTTAACATTAATTCATCGAAAGCCATATCATCCGCTACCGGCACCGCCATTTTCAGTAGTATCTTTAGAGCACCAATTAGGCCACTTTATATGAATATGAATTCCTGGCTGATCGTCCAAAGATCCAGAAGAATCCCGTTGAGTTGTGGAACTTTTAGAATTTCGGAAACCCATGTATTTAGAAACGGAAAATCGTGAGTTTCGATCTACAACTTGATTATCATGTGTTGTTGTCGATCGCATATAGCCGGCGTGTTGTGGCATGTGTGCGTGACGACTTCCCTCTAAATCACATTGTGCTAATTGGCGACGGTGGAGTATAAAAGCTAATGTACCGATTATTGCAAATATTACGAGTCCTCCCGCTGTACCTCCTATTATTGCTCCGGTTTTTGAAAAGCTGCTAGTCGAAGTTGGTCCTTGGTTGGTATCACCTGACGGTGAAGCACTTGATGATCCCGAATTATTATAAGAGACGCCAGTTGTATTTGAATGAGGTGGTATTCGACTTATTGTTTTTACCCATGTAAAGTTACCGTTCAGAGTGTCAAGAATGGAAATTAAGTATGTAGAATTTTCTTGCTGTATTGGTTTTTGACCGTCTTGCAGGATACCTGATTTGAAAAATAATATAAATATCTAATTCTTACCGAATTTTTTATTTGTAAGATAACAGTTTACCAAACGCGACAATCATGTAATCCCCGAATAAAACAGCCGAATGCGAGGCAGGAATTGACTGGCCAAAATATTCGATATTCGGAATGCTCCATGAAAAGTCTATTGTGTCGAGTATTGCGAGAGCATTTTTATCTGTGAGTGGTTTGGTTGACAATCCTCCATAAATTATTATTTGTCTTCTGTTGGTTGCTTTATGGAAAAATATAGTTTAGATTGCTTTTTTGTTGAAATTAAATGAGTTTGATTATATTTACCCAGTACAGCTGAATGTGCAGATCTCATTGGAACAACATCTGAATTGGAAGCTTGCTATTTTTCTCGACAAAATGAATCAATTCATGTCTCGGCTGTAAGGATTTGAAATAAATAACAAAAACTTACATTTCTCAACCACTTTTGGTTAACAGTATCAAACACATAAATCGAACTCATATCGACCAACTCTCCTCTTGACGTCTTGCCACCAATATAAACAATCTTATTATCATCCAAAAATGTGGCGGTGTACTCGATCATCGGCAACAAAAACGAATCAACATTATTATCCACACTACCGAATTTTTGTTTAGAACCTTTCATCGAAATCAGATTGAATATATACATCGATGGGTCATTTTGTATCTCATTATTTCCAATTGTTAAATTTGTCTCGTTTGAACCGCCGAATAAATACCAATTTCCCGTGTTATCGATCACGGACGATAAACTTCGTTTCGAACTCGGTCTATCGGCGAATATTCCTACGAAGTCGACTGGCGCCCATCGCTTACTGATTGAGTCGAATTTGTAAGTGTTTCCGTTAATGACATTGGATGTGTTTTTTGACTGCATACAATAATTCATTTTAACTGGAATCAAAACATGACAGCAAAAAAATATTTTTTGATAATGATGGATGTTTTACGTACCAAACCACCAAACAAATAAATCTCTGTATTTCTTAAGACAGTTGTGCCAAATGCGATCCCAGGTATAGAAGAACTGGTGGTATTCACAGTCTGAAATTGAAGCGTATCCAAGCTGGCACTCATCGTAAGTTCAAGCGATATCGTATCATTAATAAAATTCGAACCATCCGTCGTCCCTCCAAAAAAATAAATTATATTCCCTATTATATTTGCCAATTGTCCATATCGCCCGGGTGTATTTTGCGAATACACAGATTGTATTATTGAAAATAACACTATCAAAAATCCTATTGAAAAGTCTATTATACGTAACATGTGTGCTGTTATTGACTCCTTTATTTTTAAAAGCGCGTAAATATAAATATAAGAATAACGAATAATATGTTAGTTTTTAAACAATCAAAAGAATCATAAAAATAAAAACTTCATAAGAGAAGATGAATTTTGTTTAGTTTTATAAAATCATATCTCCTCCGATTCAAAATCTAATTAATTACAAAAAAAGCTAGCATATATATATTACACAATATCTTATGTACACAATCTTTTTTCATTTATATTATTTTTTTTTACAATTATTAATTATTAATTATTAATATTATTGTTATTATCGTTATGAGTAAAAACATTTAAAAAACAATCCGACCTTCGTGACTTCTCTATTGTTAAAATAATATTAGGACGACTACTGTTATTCTGCCCACCACCAAAAGACTAACCTGTTAAAATTTCCAACAGAATGATTTTCTATTTGATCATAGCGATGCAGTCAAACATGATACAAATAAAATTAAAAACATAGAAAACAAGAACCAAATCTTGTTAAGTTATCGTTATCATTATCGTCATACAATATCCGTGCAGGATCGTGCGTGTTCGATTCACTAATAATAGGTCTTTTCAGTATTTGGAAGCCAAGCTTTTAAACTATATACCACAGTATACCGATACGTATATACGTACATGTAAACCGAACCGTTATACGTAATTGACGATTTTTTTTGACTTTTCTAATAATAGTTAGATATCGATAATTCAGGGGAAAATGTAACAACAGTTTTTTTAACGTTAACGTTAATTAGTAATTTTTTATTATCGATCGTTATCTCCATTTTTGTCATAACCTTTTTTGAGAAGGTGTTTACTGTATTGTTTTATATGGTTATTATTACTATTCAAAATTAGTTTTAAATTAATTAGACAATAGATTTATTTGTGTCATTAATCAATTAATTCCATGTAAATGAAGAAATAAGTAATTGATTTTTTGAATAAAAGCGAGTACGTAATGGAAAGAGTTATCTATACAAGTTCGGGGGCGCCTTATCGTTATTGGTTGCTGGGTCGAGAAGATAAAACGTTTCATTAGAGCAAAAAATCCAATGTTATGACGTACGTATTAAGTTTGTACTATTCATTACTGAAAAATTTTAAATTACGTATAACGCTTACCATAAAGAATGATGGTTTTTATTTTTATTTTGAAAAAAAGAATGCATCAGAATTACACACAACTTATACATTGCACTCTCTAAAATTTGAATATGTTTGCTACGAATATTAATCTGGCAGTTAGAGTAATACATATTGCGAATTTTATCTTTTATCACTCAGGAATTAGGTTGGATAATAAAACATATGCACTTTCGTAGAAAGCATTCTCATTTTTGAATTTTGACAACAATTTTACCAAAAATATTGGTCAAATAGTTCACTTGGCGAAATTATCATTATTTGTCATTAAAAAATTTTGATGCATACACTTTATTTATTCATTACTTCAGAATCTATTACGTAAATACGTACATTGTAAACACTTTCGTCTGTCTTTGAGTAATCTGATTGTATTTAATATTTATTATTATGCATTTTTCTATTTTAACGATTAATTATTTTCAATATTTTTAAGCATTTATCTTGAAAATCTTATGAAGTCTGTTACATATAATTAAAATAATATTATTAATCGTATAGGAGATGAATCCGTTCTGACGGTTGAACCGGGGTGATTATACGATTTTTTGCATTTGGTTTTTCTGCAGATTTTTTAATGGCTTTTTTCTCGGCTGCTGTATTAGAAAGTTATTGGGTATCAATATTGGATTATTTATTATTACATGTTGCACTATAAATTATTTTTTTTATTAGCGAACTGATAACAAATGAACCAACTGGCCAGGTGAACTGATGACACCTACATTCACCCAGGTAAAAAACTACCCTGGAGGGACATAACTATAACCTAAACTAGTTTCGGTTATGTCCTTAAACTGCGTCATCAGTTTCAGTACCAATCTTTACACCCAGGTGGTTGCTATTACAACTCAAATAGCTAACTCACCCGTGGCACCAACACAGGTGCAATCTCTAGTTATATTAAGTCAAATACGCCCGGCGAAAGTAAAAGAAAAAATTTTTAATAAAAAAATTTATTTTTAAATGCCTCTGATTAAGACATTTACCCTCAAAAACTAAGACTTAAAGTATTTTCAATCCACGCTTGAGTGTGGATTGAAATGCTAAAACAGTAATATATAACTTTGTCTCTCGAAATATTTATTTAATTTCGTGCTTACTATTTGATTTTTTTAATCAATACATATAGTTTATAATGGAATATGTTCAGTTGAACATTTTTTCTTAATGATGAAGGCTTGTTGACATAGTAAAATTTTGCGTAATCGCAAGTTAAAGGAATAGATCCTATAATTGGTCAATATCACGATTACCAAAATGCTGTCAACCCTTAAACACTACAAATACATTTTGTGCCAGAAATGCATAAAATCACCATGTATTTTTATTTTCACCAACCTCATTTAAAAGAAGGTTAATTATATGGTAAAAGTTCTACCGCCATTACTTTCGCCGGGGACTGTATTTGATTTCATTGACGCAGATGTTTTTTTTAGGGCTGATAAAAGCGGCCTATTACTAATCAAAAGTTGCATTCAAGTATAAACTAACTACGTAGTCAATTCTTAGAAAAATATCTACATGATCCCTGAGATTTCGTAAAAAAACTCGATTCATTTATAGCATTGTACATGTATAATATGCATCGATGAAGTTTCTGCGTTTAAGATTAATTGAATTTGAAAGCAATAATTACCATTTTGCTGTTTCGAAGTAGTTCGCGATGATTTTTGCTTTTGTTACTCATGTATTTATTTTACCAATTGATGTATGAATATAATTATATCAATATCGATATGCTATAAGGAAATTCGCACATAATGTGTCTGTAAAAAAAATTACGGAATATGCGAAAAAGTCTGATATGTCTGTAAAAGAAACGTAAACGACCACTTTTTGCGTATGTTTTAACATATAAAGACGTAAATCGCGTTTATTTATACTCAATTACGTCTAAAACACACGTAAAAAGTGGTCGTTTACGTTTCTTTTACAGACATATCAGACTTTTTTTGCATATTTCCGTATTTTTTTTTACAGACATATATTGAAATATACAAGCATAGGGATGCAAACTTAAGAGCTAGAGATAGCAATAAACTGCATCTAGGTACAATATAGAATGCATTTGGATATACATGTACTATCGCTATAGACTGTCTCACCTTAAAATTACTTGCGTGTCACTTAATTACTGTGTGACCGAAATTTGACATGCCGATATTATATCGTATGAACATTTTTACGTAATTATTTTTTCTGTCTATTAATCAGAAATCATCCGAAATTACTGATTGCTTTTGTTAAAAATTAAATTAGGTGACTTTTCCTTTTGCTCTTTGTTTAATTTCTATATTCATATGAACAATCAATAAAATAGTTACTATGAATAGCTTATATCGATATTTATTAACCTTTATATTATATTTCTTTTTTAATAAATTCTTGATTAGATATTGTGATTTGATATAATTGTTATCTAATTGAAATAGTTTTATTTATATCTATTACAAGTTTGTTTACTAATTCTTATAAACTTGAATTTGGATTGAAAGAGAGAATTAAACAAATAAACTAAATATTAAAGAAAAGAAAGTATCTAATTCTATATCAATTTCTATGAAAATTATAATAATGCAAAGATATAATAAAAATATAAAAAAGTTATAAAAAAAATAAAGATCAAAAGGGGAGAGAAAGAAATATAAGAGAATAAATAAGAAGAGAATTTAAGATACTAATTCTCTATTATTATATAAAGTTTTCTAGAGCTAAGATAATTTGTAATAATACAATAATAAAACTTTTTTGCTTTGTTCTTCTTATGAGTGAGGAATAACAAATATAATAAAATCAAACTAATAAAAATCAAATATTTAATCAAATTTAATAAATTCAATAACAACTTTTTGTTTAGTATAATATAATACAAAGTCAATAATCCATTTTGTTTAGCACAATATAATTCAAAATCAATAATCCAATAATAATATTTTGTTTAATACAAAGTCACTTGTATGCAAGCTTTAATATATATAATTGAAAACAAAAAAGATGAATATTATTTGGAAAAAGATTTTTGTTAAAAGAGAATTTTATTTTTTAGTTATAACATATTGAGTTAAAACTCAAATAACACCTTTATTTATAAAATACAAATTTTAATATATGAGTTATTTAATAGTAAAGTATCTAATTCAAAAAGAATAAAATAATAAATAAAATATCAGATAAAAATAAAATATTAAAATATTAAATAGAAAATAAAATAAAATATTAGATAAAAATAATAAATAAATAATGAATAAATAATAAAATAAAGAAAAAAATATTAAATAAAATATTAAATAAAAAATAAGATATTAAACTATTTTACTATAACTATTTTTAAGTAATTTTTTGTATAAATCAATAAATTTCTTTAAGAATTTAAGAAATATTACTAATATTAAATTAAAATAATGATTTTATTTTAGTTTAAATATTTATTGAACTTTATTAAATTAATTTTAATTATAATAATATTATAATTTATTTGTCAAGTTAGTTTATATAATTATTTTTTTAAGTTATCCATATTAATTTTTGATTCTTTTTGTTTTTAACAAGAATTTTTTAACTATATATAATCTAAATAAAATTCATTATTATAAATAATCAAATAGAGTTTATTATTAATATATTTCAAGTAAACTAATTATAATTTT